AGCGGAGGGAGAGAACTTCGTAGCTTTATGACTGTTCGCTGCTACGGCGCAAAAAGACGCGCTCATTTCTGATTCTGTTTGGAACTTTCAAAGTTCTAGTTGAAGTACTTTTTTTTTAAATGTGCCCTTTTTAAAATTTCAACTTTCTTTACGACTCTTTCGGTGATTTGCACAAACGTCCATTAAAATTATCATTCGTTCAAAGCGATATCGATACAAATTTAAAGGAGTTATTAAACCTTAATGGACGTTTGTGCAACTGACCGTGAGTTTCGTTTTTATTTATAAGAAAGAAAAATAAGTACTTCCTTCCAAAAGAAAAGTTGGTCTTCAATTATATTCAATTTTCTCAGATATTTAAATAATAATGAACTTTAATGAGATAATTAACTCTATTGTTTAAATATAACTTTGTATTTTTTAATAAAGGTAGTTCATTAAATGAAAGTTCTTTTAAACTGTTAACATGTATTTTTAAAAAGAAATATTTCATATTTATGGCGTTTAGATCCTTTACAGTATTCGTCCGCTTTCAGAGTAGTGCCCGTGAAAATATATGAGAAATAAGTACACATTAACAAGTAATTTCAATGCAAAGCTTTGATGATTTTTTGGACATATATATACAACGTTTGAAGTAATGAGTTTTATGTTTCTCTTTAAGCAACAGGTTGACAATCTGTCACTTATTTATTGAGACAATTTTTAGTAAATGTACAATTTCAGATTAATTTTTTTTGTGAAATCTTAACTACTATGCAAAGCCTTTATTTATTATATTTCAATCTATTAACTACTTTATTTAATTAATTATATTAATTTTAAGTTCGGTTTTATTTTCACTTTTTTATACGAATGATAGAATAATGAAAAGCTATCATTATTCAGTGATTTTTTTTTGGATCATCATGAGAACTCCTCCGTTTTTGCTTAATGTCAAGTGGTAGTGGTAACCTGGATGATCCCAGTGTGTTTACCGTTTGCGAATTTACTCCGTTCCAATCGAGCGTTTTTATAGGACTGGTTAATAAATTTCTGTTATTTTATAAGAACAGAATTACTGTATCTGTTCTTATAAAATAACAGAAATCGCAATATTTAGTTCAAATACATGTGTACGGCAACTGATATATTACGTCATTTTATTGTATAAGACGTTTGCTTGGTCCGTACACATAGCGACTCATAATGTTACGACAAGAATTCAAATGTCCACAATCGATTATGAACCTAAGCTTCAATATATTAAAGCTTAAATGTATTAAAGAATATTTGTCCGATTTGTATAACTGTGTGCTGTTTATTGTACCATGTTGTGATCTTGATCGTATAACGCGTGCTGATGACATACAAACAAGTCAACAACACTTATTGTTCATGTTTACTCCATTGACACATTGATTTTCTCGCAATTTCTTTATAAAAATGAACACGTCTCAATTTCAAATCGTGTTTTTATTTCAATTTCAGGGCATTTTCGATAGGGTTCTTAAATATGTTCATCTAGGATATATTTTTTAATTAACAGACGCGCATATTTGACTCTTTTTTGATAGGGTTTGTTTTTAACAGGTGTTTTTTGTCAGGTATTTCTGTGAACGATACATTTTTTTTTCTTATTGTTATAAGTTATAAGTCAAACATTGTTTTAGAATTTACTTTAATTGATTTTATTTAAGTATTGATGTCTTAATCTTTAGAGGGATAGATTTCAGTAATTATGGCTATTAAAAAATATTTGTATTTTAATATCCAAATTTAAATAAATATCTAATATGTGCTTAGTCTAACTATTTTTATAAAGATGGTTTTTAATAATTTGAAAATACAAATTGTGTGAAATGGATTTGTTATCAAACGTCAACGTATACATGCTACGTGACACGTATTATAATATTCCTCATGTATTTAAAGCTCTTTAGGATGATGCATTACAAATTTTAAGATAAAACACATCGCTAATGCATTCAAAGTTAATTAATCTGTTACGTGTTTCTGTTACCTGAATGTATTTTATTGTGCCATAAAGTATAACGCAAGGTTCACTTTAACAAAGACCCCTTAAAAGAATACGGTATTTCTGTTATTGTTAACATTTACTTGCATTCTGTAAGTTACCCGAATGTTTTATTTTGATAAATGTTTGCAATATCAATGGGCTATTCAGGTAGATTGCCTATATAATTATGGAAATGTACTCGCTAATAGCGAAAGTAACAAGTGCTTGAGACTTTCGATAGTGTGGCTGAAGTTACCGCAGGATCCCGGATCTTTTGGAGCAGAATACCGCAACGGTTTTTATCAAGTAGGCACACTTTGAAATGGCTTATCATGGCAGGTCCTAGTGTTTCACTCGAGACCTTTTAATTTTCAAGTATTTTCTTTAAGATCAATTAAACTTCAGTACGTTAATAATATAATATAAAGTCACACAACAAAACCACGCATTCTGAGTGTTGGTTCAGGTTCATTTAAACCTACAAATGTGACCTCCACTCACTATCGCGAGTAGTGACACGTTTAATGAATGATTGAATCGTTATAAGCACGTCTCTAAGCTCAGCTTTTTTTATTTTACCAATTCAAATCGATCGCTCTGTCGCCTACAACTCTCCATCAACAGAAGCCTATTTAGTTCTCAAATAAAACTGTATCTAAATAATACCACAAAGCTTATACTTCGTAAAATAAAATCGATTAAATGATCTAAAATAACGCACTTCTCCTATGACTGGTTTCCGACCTGTTTCTGATCATTAAGCTCCTGGGCTCTTTCTGACATTGGCGAGTTTTATCTCGGGTTTTTCAAATGGTCAAATGTGGTTATGCAGCCGCTGATGTATGGATCAATCGTTATAATAAATAATATGTATTTTTTCTGCATTTATACCGAAAACAAATATTTATTCAAAAAATTGTATATCTTGCTTTGATTATTCATTAATAAGTAATTGTGCCCTTATACAACCGGGTCTCATTATCATTTATATTTATATTAGTTGTTATTGCATTGCATCTCTTGTGATTTATTGCTTCAATTAGTGAATGCACAGGTGCGTCTTTTGTAATAGACTTTGCATTTACTTTTATTGACACTGTTTTTGTATTAACACGGTTACGTGTAGAATCGAAGGGTCATGGAAATATAGAAATATCAGCGAACAACGTTTGAAAATATTGCTGTATATTTTGTTTCAGCCTTTGTGTCACTATTTCAGGCAACAAGGTCTTGACAATCGTTATCTGTGCATATAGGCATTCATTCAACATATTTTCTATATTGACCACTCAGACAAGAAAGTCCTCATTTTATCAAAGCCCTGCGATTCTGTGAATATCCAGACCCAAATTGGAATTCACTCATGTGTTCGAATTCACGTCATTTAGTGCAGAAATTCTATTGATTCCATTTTTCGTATAAAAATACAAAACAAAATTGATGGAAAATATGTACGTGTCTCAGATATTCTATTCCTATGTCATTTCGAAAATCACTTCACTTATGCCACAAAACGTTATTACCGATGTCGCCTTTTAAAGTAAATTCGGGCACCTCAGTGAATCCGAATTCGGGTTTGGATTTTTACAGAATCGCAGGGCAATTCGGCATTTAGCAATGCTGAGTTAGGGTAGCAGTCTTGATAAATAGGTATTATAATAGACTCCGAAGGTTTGGTCTGATTTTAAAAATTCTTTCACCTACGGGTAGCTACATTATATGCGAGTTATAAAGGCTATTATATTCATTTTATTAAATAAAATGTTTTTAAGGAATGCATTTATTGTTTATTGGTTTCAATTTATTGTTTTTATTAAATAATTGAATGCTGAATGATGTCTTTTATATGCATAATACTAAACGAAGAAAATAATTCTTATTTCCATAGAAATATTCTTCTATAATTGAATCAAGATAAAAGCTAGCTCTTTGTTAACAGTATTTAATTTATGTATAATTTGTTAAAGTAGCAATTATTTATGTATCCAAAGAATTATTACACGTAGAGTGTCCCTTTACAACTTCAGATTGTAGAGCGATTGTATTAGCTTCAATTACGTTTATTTTTCGTTTGAAAACATAATATACACTTTACCTTATAAAATTAGCATATATTATGCTAAGTCTAACGACAAAGAAAAATGTCTAACTCCCATTAATAACTGTTTTATGATACCAAAAGCACTTTGTTCATCTCGAAACTCTACTCTCAATGTTATTTATTGTCTTTACAAAGAAAAAAGTTTCAAGTTCATTTATCAAAACCTCCTTCTTACCACTAATTACCGTTGGATTAGGTTCATCGTCATTTGCGTGCTTCTGAAAATTAAAAAAAGTTCGAGTTGGGAAACTTAACCTCATTAATGTTGTGTTCGCTCTGTCCTACGCCCTAGTGCTGGAGGGTTGGCAACGTCGCTTAATTTTTATGGTTGCCATGCGCAGGAGAGCTTTCGTTGCTTGTCTTTGGGGTATTTTTATGATAAATGTGCAAGCACTGCAAGCAGCGTTATGGCTTTAAATCATTCGATGTTTATATTTGTTATATATGTTTATAATTATTTGATATTAATTAAACTTTTATTTATTTAATATAAAACTTTTTCATAAATTAATCTGTCTATGTCATAAACTAGTGTACTATGAGCACAAGATGTAGTTAAGTTCTCAAACTTGGGATAACAATAACATTATGGAAATAATTGATAAGTTAACGGGAATAAACATATATTCCTTCCAAAGAGATTGAAGCAATATTTCAAGAAATACAGCTCAGTATTGAGTGTTCCAAGTTCTATTGAGCTCGAAGCGCGCCTTGGTCTTTACGAATTCGTACTTTAACTTTTATCTGTGTGATATTAAGGTATGTCGTACTCCATTTTTGAAATTGTAAGCTTAAACTGTGCTTTTCATTCTGAAAACGAGTCTAGGGTATTTCCATTCAACATATGGCAACACTGTGAACCGAGTGAGCGGTCGCTTGCCATGACAGTCCAGTAGCAGTGGTATCGCGGTGTCGCGCGGCGCGCTCGCTACTCGCGTCCAACGCACACGTACAAATAGAAAAACTTTGTGATGTAACTATTTTATCTGTGTAATAATAACACTTTTGTGTCCCCTGTGTTTACGTTTTCGCTTCGCAATTGTTCTACGATAACGATGAATCGAGCGGTGACTATGTGTGTATTATAGTGTGCGAAATATTTTGGATTTAGATTGTGCGTTCGTAAAGAGAAGAATTTTAAAAAGATATTTCAAGCGAAAAAAGTTTGTATAGGAGTTTTTCATCCTGAAAAAGTTTGGTCTCTGAAAAGTTTTGTGTGTGTGTCTTTGTTGTATAATGGCGTCCCAGATTCTGATCGTAGGTAGACGTATGTTTTATATGTTAATATCAATTTGTGATTATTTTGTTTCACCGTTAAAGCCTGATCGTAAGGTTGTTCGTATTTATTATACATCGTATATTTTAGTAATAAATTTGGTAAGTTAAGATAAGAATGCAGGATAGGTGTATGGATTTCTCTCTTTTTTTATTAGTAACATTCGAAATTATAATACCTGTCAGTATTTAATAGAAAATACCTAAAAAGTTTTTGTTATGATATGCAGATTGTTTGCAATTTTGTAGTCCTGTCTTTTTTTAACAAATCATAATAACGTTAGAAAATGCCTCAATGTTTCAAATTTTCCCCACATTTTACAATTTCCGAAACAAAATCATGTTTTTTAGTTTGAAAATTTTACACATGTTAATAAACTTATATATTAATTTGCTGTCTTCACGCGGGTGATATATCTAAAGAAATTGTATTTACGAATTTTGCGTAAAATTGTTGATAATTATGAATCTGATAATAAACAGAAAATAATAAATTAATTTGGATTTTTCTAATTTGGTACATATGTTTATATAGTACCTATGTTTCGGCGATTCATTTTAATATAGGATGGCTATCTACATAACTAAATAATGTCCACTGATCTCATACGCTGTTTTATATCGAAATCACTTCATAGAGCCTGTCTTAGCACATTCTGTTGTAGTCTGTGAAATAAATCCAAATTTGAGTTATGTATTCAAATGGATTGTTATAAACCAATTTAATTATATACGTGTGTTAAAAATATTTATGTTTCGTTCAATAGCATTAATTAACTGAAGTCAGCATAATCTATCGATGTAGGTGTAGGTATTTTCGTTTAATTGTAAGCAGTAGAAAATGTGCTACTTTATTTTATACGACCCTATAATCGTAGTCGTCTGTTCTCTGTTCCGGTGCCAGCAAAACTGAGTTCAATCATTTCCAATCTCTCAGAAATATGTTATAGGTATATTTCCAATCTCTCAGAAATATGTTATAGGTATGTTTATAATTGATAGAACTGTTCTCGTAGTAGATTTGAGATAACTAGTTGTTACCAGCGGCTTTGCCCGCTTCTTCAAAGAGAAAAAATAGTTTTTTTTGCGGTAATAATTAGCCTGATATTCTTCAGTCAAATTATCTGCGAACAAAATCATATCTTATTTATTCTATAATAAAAACTTAACCGATCGATGTCTGTACATTGCAGATATATGAAAAAACTAATATGAAGGGCATTTATAATCCAAAACAACGATTTTTAAGTTTTTGTCTGTGCGTTTGTGCACGCTAATCTCAGACAAGACTGAACTGATAAATTCAGTTTTCATTGTTGTAATCTTTGGTTAACATTTAGTGTGTGTTTTATTTTAGTAGGTTCATAAATAAAAAAGTTACATCATTTTGAGGTAATGCATTTGCCTAAATTGCTATGAAATTAACTGGTTTATTAAATTTTTATCTTTGATGTATTGATTATTAACATAAGCTCTGTTACATCCCCACTGCATGGGCTCAGGCCTTTAAGTTTTTCGGTCACCTATACCGTGAACAACTCTTGCGTAAATTGCTTAACAACAACAATCGCGGGCAGCGGCGCTTATCCGTTGCCCTACCAAGCTTGATATTGATATACATATAGTCTAGTTGATAACTTTAAAAAAAAATTATAAATAGTCCATTAATACCTGTGATATAAATTACAAGTAACAGCATGTCAGCGATGCTATTTTTGTAGAACTGCTGCTAGTCGGCCGAAAACACTGCTTACAAATTCAAGGCACTAAGTGACGTCACACAGTGCTATGCTAGTGAAAAATGTTATTTGTAAGTAGTTGTTATAATGAAAGTTGCAACGTTTTATGTAATTTAATACTTTATGTATTTTATACAGTTTTTGTAGTATATTTTCCCTTCTTTTTTCAATCTAAATTATATGTGACCAATCATATTAAATAGGGTTCAGCTTATAATGAACATGTGGTTTACAATCACGCTAGTAAGAGATCAAGCAAAAATAACGTTGCGCTGCTGCAATTAAGAATCGAGTAGTTTACAGTGAAGGCAGTATATGAGGTTTCTGATAATAATTTTTTATTAGGTTAGATTCACATTCTAGAGGCTAGCGGAGGTGGTTAGCAACCAACACTGCATTACAGGGTCTCACCTGTCTGGGAGAGGCTTTCGATGAACCCAAGCTGTTACTTCCGCGAGGGACCAATGGTCCAATACTTGGAGTGTCCTGGTGAGTCGGCCACGGCTTTCCCGGGTCTCATCTCCAACGAGAGGTGGCAACGTAGAGATTTTGATGGGTAGGCCTCCGGGGACCTACTGGGCAGCTCACTACCGGGAGGGTTTACGGAGGAGAGTACTCTACTCACCCCCTGTTGCTTGACAGGCAACCGGGACAATGCCAGAAGAATTTCCTCGACGTTAAAAAGTTAGGTTAGGTCTTTACAGCTACTTTTGACAGGAAGGGCCTAAAATCAATTGTAAGAATGCCTCGAAAAAAGGTCAAACCTCTCACTGTCAAACTGCTCAAAGGATGAGATTCTTAAGAAGATCGTACAGCGAGACGTTGGGAATTTCAGGACGGATTACGTGCTACAGAAACTTTGGTTCATCATGAATCCAAACCAGGTTTACGTTGTTCTCGAATGAGTAAAGATAACTCAAGTTTATCAATTTTTTTCTCTCTTAATAGTCTCTTGTTACTCTTTTTATTTTTGTTTGTTCAAATCGCTTTATTTTAAAGTTGTTATCTTCATTGGAGAACAAGTTTATTCACCAGTCATGAGGCTCATGCAATATTACGTGAGTCTGAGGATTGGTGCAAATCTGAGGGAGTTCAGTCAAGCGCCTCACAGAAGTATATGTTAAAACAGAATTTCATTCTGATTGCGAGGCTCATACACTATCAGTTGAATTTGAAGCATTCACTGGCAGGGAAGATAATTTGAGCTCAGAGAACTCGTATAGCAACCGTTTGATCTCAGGATACTCCTGAAGAAAGCTTTGCACATACATCTAACTGCTGAATGTAACACACATGCAGTATGGTATGAGTCTGAAACTTCTTTGATAGAGAAATGCGACTGACTTTACAGTATAGAGAGAGAAAGTAGTTTCTATTATCGTCAACCGTTTGTCTTCACCCTGACTATACTCCAAAAGCGTACCGCATATAAATTGTCACACATATAATGAATTAGCTGTTAACTAGTCGCGTAAATTACAACCTATGGTTTCGCAAGCAGTTTCGCCTTGAGCTTGTGTCAATACATAAATACATGATATAAAACGAAGTTGCTCTCCGTCGTCTGTCCATATGTATGCTTAGATCTCTAAAACTTCACAACTGATTTTGATGCAATTTTCCACGCGGACTAAGGCGCTGGCAGAAAGATAGTTATACATATAAACCTTTCTTTCCAATTTCTCCGTATATTGATGAAAACCGCATTAAAATTCATGTGTTGTTTAAAAAATTCAGCGTACAGACAGCGGGAAGCGATTTTATTTTATACTTTGTATAGAAGATCTCTCCTTGTTATCGATATTTTCTTCCGAAGCTTAGTATTGAAAGTCTTATCTTTTGCTAATCGATATGTTTCACTTAGTGATGTCATTGTTATCATAATGAATGTATTGCGCAGATTCTTGAAATTCTTCCTGTATTTATATTAATAGGATGATAATCTTAACAATAGGAAACACACGGACGGAGCAGGTTAAGCCTCCATCTCTTGGCTCTTGATTGATCTTCAATCTTAAATCTGTAGTTATCCCAATGGTACTTTTGATTACGATAAATAGTATATCTACATAATGTTTGGGTTAGTCTTGTCTCCTAACTTTCGAACGTCTCACTCTTGTTTAGTTCACTTGCGTACTCTGGCGCTGATCAAGAGTAAGAAACGTCACAATTGCAATGTCGATCCGTCGCGATTGTGTTCGAGAGTAAGGGAGCAAGCAGGTGGTAGACTCTCAGCCAGTTGCACAAACGTCCATTATACATATAAGTTTATATTTATACCTATTTCATATTTTGTTATTATTGTAAGTTTTTGGATCCATTCTTCTTTTCAGTCAAAGGCAATTGCAATGTTATTGTGTATAATTAAAAAATATCTTTAACATATACATATGAATAATTATTTAAAACATATATGAGCAAATGCGATGTGATGATAACATAAATTATGCGATTCGGCAAAATTTTCACGATAAAAAATTTATCATAAAAATCTCTAAATGGTAATTAAATAACGCGTGACAGTGATAAGAGACTGATAATTTATATTAAAATAATCAGAATATAATTCTTTTAGATCTTCGTGGGCTTATATTGGTTGCTATAGAAATTTTTCCTCATCTTTAAACTTTTGTCACCCAGTAACGAGTGTATTCTTAGCGTTCTCTACATCCAGTATCTTTCCTCCACTTCGATTAATATATATAATTTAGTTTCTTCTATTAAAAAATAACAATATTTTTTCTCTCATGCTCTCATTCTCTCATCTAATTAGATTGAGATTGATATGTAGGCACATATATCTTAAATAACCGTACTGTAAAATAAGGCCGCCTTACACGCCAGACAAAACAGAATTGTTCATTTTCAATTAACACGTTAGATTATCATTTTAAACGTATGAATGCAGTTTTTTTTTTTTTTCACTAAAATCGATGTTTTTAGTTTCAGTCTTTCCCATACTGTCCGTTCTTAACACCTTATACGTATATAGTAGGTTGTATAGTGGTTTTAATCTGGGTTGAAAGCTCTGTATCAAAAATCTGGAGGGGTGGGGAGGTTTTTGTGATCAGTAATTTATTTTCACTGCAAAAAATATGGTGATATAAAATCCTCAGACCTCACGGTGTCCGGTCAGATGCCTAAAAGTCCTGATATAACGGAACATAACCGTTGACTATAATTAAGCCTAACTGCCTAACGA